GTTCGTGGGCGTTTCTATTGCGGCTATGTTAGCATTGCCACGGGTTATTTTGCGTTGGGAGTTTAGGGGGCTCAGCTTCCTTTTGATTTGGATGTAACGATCCATACCAGTCTGCACAGCCGGCTTAATATTTTCTTTGTTTTTGTTCTCTTTTTCGGGCAGCACAGCGGCTGAAGTATCAATGTTTGCGTTGCTAGCTGATGACGTCGTTAAACGCGCTGTCGTTACAGTAGCGGTTGTTGTTGTTGTTACGGTTGACGTTGTCAAAGAGGTTGCGGTGCTAGTTACTGCGCTCTTTGGCTGCAGAGACATCGATGGTAGCGAGGGGGGAGCAAGAACGCGCTCTCACGCTCTCTATGTTTAAGAATTCGGCCAAGTTTGGGGTAATTGACCGTGTTTGGGATGAGCTTGCATTACTTTCGGTTGCTTTGAAAGTGAAGTAAGCGTTGTTTCTTTGTACTGAGAGCCGTCTCTCGTCTTGCTCACGTTGACGTTGTGTGCTAACGTCGTTTAGACTCATTGCAATCGAAATTGATATTGTTCGAGTTTTAAATGTTATGTTTTATATTAATTAATTAATTAATCAATATAAACATTAGCGATTTCATCGCTGAAAGCGTCTTTTCGCGTTGTTGTTGATTTACGAAACCAGTCACTGCACTTTTTGATATTGATGAATGTTTTTTTCCCGGAGCACAATAAATACACGTCTGCATGCGACGACGATTCGCGTTGTTGAAAAAAAAAACTGAAAAAATGAAAAATGGACTGAAAAATAAAGATAATGGAAGATATTTCTGATCTCTTTGCTCTTATCATACACTGGTTCGATTGAACGTTTCAAACTTTAAAAATATAAATCTCTATTTTCCTCTCTCATCTGCAGCCGTCTCTCGTGGAACCCGCTCCCAAATATTTTTAGTTTTACAGCGGGTTTCACGACGCGTCCTGCCAATATGCCGTAGAACCCGCACTTATAGAGATTTTTACAGGTTCCGCTACAAACTGAGGCGATGTTAAAGTGATTTTAAAATTTTGTTTTTTTTTTATTAGTTTATAAATTTTGGAAAACACTTTAAAACAATTACAATATAATATAAATAGATTAAAATAAAAAAAAAGTGATTGTCTCGAGCCTGATTTAAACTCTTTTCACTCTGCACATCTGTCAAACTCTCTACCACAAGGCTATCCCACATTTGTTGTCTCGCGAAAAATTTCTTAAACTTAACTTGTCGCTCGTTCAACCGGGTTCCAGCGCTGAAACCCGCCATAAAAAATTTTTTCTTTGTATGAGATGTCCCATCTATGCACTTTATAATCTTTGATTGTAGACAACGCTTAACATTGTCTGCATATATATTTAGTACATTAATAAAAAGAGTATTCAGTATGTACAATATTAAATAAGACTCTTTGTTATCTTCCATCGAAAGATAACATCAAAGGATAACATAACATCCATCTAAAGATAACTTCAAAAAACACCTTGGAAAAAAAAATTCGACTCTACAAATCATAGCTCGCAAATAACTGTTAACCGATAATAACTGTTATTGTTACCGATAATAACTGTTATAGTAGTCCATCCCGGCTACTCAAGTATCTGTTGAGAGAGTATTTTCAGTTTTACAATTTATTCTAAGCGAACGACGGAGTTCAATAAATACCCAAAACCCTTACTCTTTATTTTTAGGATGAACTTTAAATAAATATAATAGAAAATATATAATTAGAAAAAATTATTTTTTCATTCAAAAAATTACACATTGTATCCCTGTGCATCGAACAGAATTCAAAGTATTGAAAAGACTTTTTGAATAGACCTTTTCGGTCAATCGGTCTTTTAATGAGGGTCTCTGTGCGAACCATGATACAATTATACATGATTGGCTACAAAAATATTTATTTTTTGGGGCAAAATGTTGGCACAAATATGATCTGCGCGGATACCATACGAGTCCAAGTTCTAGATTGGATAGTTCTCTTAAAGCTGGGGTTCCCAAGCTCTTAATACGGGAGAGCAAACTACCATACCAATGCAAAAAGTCACCAATACTTTTAGGAAGAATTTTTTTTCCCATCCATGTAGGTGCACTTAAAAATAAAATTATAAAATCATTCACAAGGGGCTCAAAAAAAAGCAATATAATAAAAAATACATTTTATTATAGCCATTAAAAAAATCCCTCCATTTTACAACAGCTTATTATTATACCATGACAAATAATGCGGAGCTTCTTAAAAGAAAATGTTCTGCACGAAAATAGGAAAAACCCGAAAAATTGTTGTTGTAATTGCCCTTTGCTTATGCTGGGACCAACGAAGCTTATGGAGTGAGCAACGAACCTTATGGCGTGGGCAGTCTCACACAACTCCGTATACATGAGCATTTGCAAAAACAAATGAGCAGCGAGAGCAATGGGATGATGAGCACCACTGTGTTAATGTCTTCGAAATCCACGCGTTCAAAATTTTACCCCGTTTGTATGGGTTATAGTATATAGTTATCTAGTTATGTTATGTAATAATTATGTACTATACTTCCAAATGTAAGGCCCTTAACTTAAGGGAAAAATTTATGATTTTACAACAAACTTATAATAAAAACTCAGTGTGCACAGAAAACCAGGCTGTTGATAAGTTAATAATCATATTTTTTACCCACACTTAAAGTATTACGCGCTTAGAAATTTTTATGCGCAAAAAAGTTCCGAGAAACATTTTTTTTTTTTTAATAAATTAAGATTTTAAGGGTGTTACAAATATTTCAAACACGGTTTTGTGCGATATTCGACTTTATAAATTATTGGAAATATAAATTGAACTGGAACAATGCAATTGCAAAATTTGCCATCACAAATTTTCCAAAAAATTAAAAATTTTTTTTTTTTTTTTATATACAGTATTACTAAAGTATGTACTTAAAAAATTTTATACCCTATTATATATTATAATAGTGTATATAATAATAGGGTATATAATAGGGTATTTTAATTTTGGTCAAAAGTGTACAACGCAGTGAAAGAGACATCCTTCGACGTTATAAAGTAAATATATTCTTGATCAGGATCACCTCCTGAGTTGATAAGCATGTCCGTCTGTCTGTTTCCCACCCTTCTTTCCTTTGCACGCTGCACAATGTATAAGTCATATAAGCTGCCATAAAACTGATTGATTGGAAATGGTATAACTTTGGTGTTTTTAGAGTTAGAGAGTTTTTTAAAACTCACAAACAAATATAACATAACAATATAACAATAACATTTTTTTGGCAAAATAATTGGACATGCCAAATTTCATAAGGATCGACCGACTATATCTTATAGCTGCCATATAAAAGAACGATCGGAAATGATATTTGGTAAAAATACCAACTTTCGTGTTTTTAAAGATAGAAAGCTGGAACTTAATACAGATTCTATTTTTAGTCAGTTAATCCAACCTACCAAATTTCATAAGGATCGGCCGACTATATCCGACCTTTCGTCCTACCGACCAATAAGTTTGTTACCAATGCTCTCCAGAGCACTGCCAGTATTTGACGAGGCTGGACTGATCCCTGACCACCAGTTTGGCTTCAGGCGGCGACACGGTACGCCGGAGCAGTGCCATCGGGTAGTGCAGTGCATCCTGGACGCGTTTGAAACCAAGAAGTACTGCATGGCCGTCATGCTGGACGTGAAGCAGGCGTTTGACCGAGTCTGGCATCCCGGTCTTCTATATAAATTAAAGACTGGCCTACCCCGACCATACTTCCAGTTCCTAAAGTCGTTCTTGGAAGACCGTAAATTTGCTGTTAGATGTGGCGAGGCCATCTCCGGTATTAGAGAAGCTCACGCTGGTGTACCCCAAGGCAGCGTTCTTGGCCCGTTGATGTACAATGCTTACACGGCCGACCTCCCTGTTCTTCAGAGGCCTGACCTGCTCGCAGCAACCTATGCAGACGACACCGCCTTCCTTACCACCGCCGATAGCGCATTGGGGGCAGCCGATACGATGCAATTGCAGCTTGACTTGCTCAGCGACTGGCAAAAGCGATGGAACATTGCCGTCAATAATGAGAAGTCCACTGCCTCCACATTTTCTCTCTGCAAAGGCAACTGCCCTCCAGTTAACCTTAACGGCTCTCCAATCCCACAGGTAGACAATCCCAGGTACCTGGGATTCACCCTAGACAGAAGGCTCACCTGGAAGCCCCATCTGATTAAGAAGAGGAAACAGGCTATTCAAAGACTTCGATCCTTCAACTGGCTTATGGGTAGGAGATCGAAGCTGAGAACTTCCACTAAACTCCTCATTTACAAGGCAATAATACGCCCTATCTGGACGTACGGCATACAGATCTGGGGAACTGCGAGCAAGACGAATGTCCGAACTATGCAAGCTTTCGAAAATAGAGTCCTTCGAATCGCCACTGGGGCCCACGTCTATCATGACAATCGCACCATCCACGAGGTTCTCAATTTCCCTTGGGTCAAGGACGAGATACAAAGAAGCAGCGCACGTTACATGCAGAAACTTCATAATCACCCGAACCTGTTGGCCAGCTCCCTGCTGGACAACAGCGAGCAGCCCAGAAGACTAAAAAGGACACACCCGCTGGACCTCCCCTTACGACTCTAATTTATTTCTACCATATTAATATTTAAAATTATCTATAAGTGAAGTTTATGCGATAACATTTAATGGTTGTCCCTAATGGACAGTTTTAAATAAACATTACCCTGCTATTACAAAAAAAAAAAAAAATAATCCGACCTACCTTATACTATATCTTATAGCTGCCATAGAAGATAGAAGATTTGGACTTTGTTTTTAAAAATTCTATTGTAATTTTTGGTTATATTATAATATTCTCTTAAGGATCGGCCAACTATATCCGATGTATGCGATATATAACCGGTTTTAACGGAAAGGGTATATCAACTTCGGCTCTGCCCGAAGTTTGCTTTCCTTTCTTGTTGTTACTCACACTAGACTTTATTTTTTTTTTATAGCACAGCACTGCTGAATCTACCGTACCCTTTGCTCATCAAGGAAATGCAGAATGGATGAAAATTAAAACTCATGAACCTTTATTACCAGTTTGGATTGCAATAATTATAATTGTAACGTGTCTTTGCTTCTCAGCTTTATTTTCTGGCCTTAACTTGGGCTTGATGGCTATGGACCGCACAGAATTAAAGGTACTTTTTAGTTTAAAATAACTAGATTTTAATCTTTAAAATAATAATTTAGATACTGCGAAACACTGGTACCGACAAAGAAAAGAAATATGCTTCGAAAATCGCACCTGTTCGTGACCAAGGTAATTATCTCTTGTGCAGTATTCTCTTGGGTAATGTGTTGGTTAACTCAACCTTTACGATTCTGCTGGATGGCTTGACCTCTGGACTCTTTGCTGTTATATTTTCAACATTGGCAATCGTCCTCTTTGGGGAAATTACACCGCAGGTAATTAAATTTGCACAAGATTCTCTCTCGACCTTAAAAAATATTTTTTTTAACCGTTCTATACAGCTTATGAATATATAACTAGAAACTGTAACGAAATAACTTTAAACCAGGGGGCCCCAAGCTCTGCATACGTAGAGCAAACTTCCATACAAAAAAAAAACACCAATACATTGATGCGAGAATATTTGCAATTTTGCAATTCATGTCAATACACGGAGAAAAATTTTATTGTAACATTCACAAAGGGTTGAAAACAGTGGTCGGCCGGGCCCTATTCTACGGGCATAGGAAATTTCTCTGCCCGAGCTCTGCGCTCACCCACAGTGTAAAACGTATGAAACGTCGTATGAAACATGCTCTCACCCTACTTTCTGCAATTCGTTACTAATACTACTGCATTAAAATGATATCAATGTATTGGGTGCCGACCACTGGTTTAAAATAAATATCCTTATAATAAAAAAATGCATTTTAAATTGAGTTAGCAATTAAGGTCCTTCATTTTTTACTACAGCTTAAGGTTACTATTTTTATACCCTTGCAGAGGGTATTATAATTTTGGTCAAAAGTGTGCAACGCAGTGAATGAGACATCTCCGACCCTATAAAGTATATATATTCTTGATCAGGATCACCTCCTGAGTTGATATGAGCATGTCCGTCTGTCCGTCTGACTGTCCGTCTGACTGTCCGTCTGTCTGTCCGTCTGTCTGTCTGTTTTTACGCAAACTAGTCTCTCAGTTTGAAAGCTATCAACTTGAAACTTTGCACACACCCTTCTTTCCTTTGCACGCAGTATATAAGTCGGAACGACCGAAATCGGCCGACTCTATCCTATAGCTGCCATATAACTGATTGATTGGGAATGGTATAACTTTGGTGTTTTTAGAGTTAGAGAGTTCATATTTGACATGAGAGCTATTTTTGGCAAAACATTACGACATGCCAAATTTTATAAGGATCAGCCGACTATATCCTATAGCTGCCATATAACTGAACGATCGGAAATGACCTAACTTTCGTGTTTTTGAAGATAGAAAGCTGGAACTTAATACAGATTCTATTTTTGGCCAGTTAATCCAACCTACCAAATTTCATAAGGATCGGCCGACTATATCCGTTGTTTGCGATATATATCCGGTTTTAACTGCAAGGGTATATCAACTTCGGCTCCGCCCGAAGTTAGCTTTTCTTTCTTGTTTTTATTATTATACAGTGACAAATAATGCACAGCTTCTTTTGCGAAGAAATTCATCGCTTCAAGTCGATTAGTTAATAAGGAAAACACGAAAAATTGTTATTGTAATTGCCCTTTGCCTAGGCTGAGAGTCACACTAAATATGTCTTTGCATTTTCCATAGAAAAGAGCAATCCAACAACAAAGGAGGAACGAGAGCAATGGGAGTGGGAACCCGTTTTTATATACTTTGCTTTATTTATCTCGGTAACAATAATTAACAAAACCATGCTCCTGAGCCTCTGCATTATCGCGGCAGCAAAAGATGCTACTTCGTCTCAGAGCATCTGATTCTCCATCATTACCTCCACACGGTTTCCTGGACGGCCCGCCGTCGTCTCCAGTCGGTGGCGCTCACGTGCAAACCGGCGGCACTCGAAGACTACGTGCTTGACATCCTCGACGGTAGATCTCCTGCACTCCGGGCACCAGTCCTCTTCCGCGTGACCGAAACGCTTCAGGTATTGCCGGAAGCCGCCATGTCCACTCAAGACCTGGGTCAGGAAAAAGTCAACCTGCCCGTGGATTCGAAGCACCCACCTCCTAAGGTTGGGAATGAGGGTGTACGTCCTTGTAGGTGTATCGAGGGCGCCGCCAACACCCTCATAGCGAGCGCGAGTTTCATTTAGCTCCTTGAGCTCTCGAGCACGCTCTTTCAGCGCGCCTATTACACAGTGCGACAGTGATTTGGAACTTTTGAAGAGACCTAGTAGGAATTGTTCATTAGGTCGAGTATAGTATAAAACTGTGTTTGAAATTTTTCTAACACCCTCAAAATCCTGATTTATTTAGAAAAAACGGGTTTTCGGGACTTCTTTGCTCCTAAAAATTCCTAAGCGCGTAATTTTAAACCGAATTTAAAATTTTAGACGTTTTTTAATAGACGCTTTTATTTAGACGCTTTTGAAAAAAAAAATAGATCTTGCATTTGTTTCAACAAAAAGGATACAATTTTTACGCAAGAAACTGATATTTTTGAATTTTTGTCGTGTTTTTCAGATTTTGACGCCATTTTTTCGGTACAATTTCTAAAAAAATGGTATCATTTTTGACACATATCAATATATTTTTTTTTGTAATAGCAGGGTAACGTTTATTTAAAACTGTTCTTTAGGGACAACCATTAAATGTTATCACATAAACTTCACTTATAGATAATTTTAAATATTAATATGGTAGAAATAAATTAGAGTAGTAAGGGGAGTTCCAGCGGGTGTGTCCTTTTTAGTCTTCTGGGCTGCTCGCTGTTGTCCAGCAGGGAGCTGGCCAACAGGTTCGGGTGATTATGAAGTTTCTGCATGTAACGTGCGCTGCTTCTTTGTATCTCGTCCTTGACCCAAGGGAAATTGAGAACCTCGTGGATGGTGCGATTGTCATGATAGACGTGGGCCTCAGTGGCGAATCGAAGGGCTCTATTTTCGAAAGCTAGTATAGTTCGGACATTCGTCTTGCTCGCAGTGCCCCAGAGCTGTATGCCGTACGTCCAGATTGGGCGTTTTATGGCCTTGTAAATGAGGAATTTAGTGGAAGTTCTCAGCTTCTATCTCCTACCCATGAGCCAGTAGAAGGATCGAAGTCTTTGATCAGCCTGTTTCCTCTTCTTAATCAGATGGCGCTTCCAGATGAGCCTCCTGTCTAGGGTGAATCCCAGGTACTTGGGATTGTCTTCCTGTGGGATTGGAGAGCCGTTAAGGTTAACTGGAGGGCAGTTGCCTTTGCAGAGAGAAAATGTGGTGGCAGTGGACCTCTCATTATTGACGGCAATGTTCCATCGCTTTTGCCAGTCGCTGAGCAAGTCAAGCTGCAATTGCATCGTTTCGGCTGCCCCCATGGCGCTATCGGCGGTGGTAAGGAAGGCGGTGTCGTCTGCATAGGTTGCTGCGAGCAGCAATGATTGATTGTCATATATTATTCTGAATAAAACGAGACCAAATTCATTAGGAAATTATGAAAATTGTTGAAGTTATAACGCTTTTCCCAAAACAAGTCAGTGCAATTTTACTAGCGCTCCGGAGTAATAGTGTGCCCTTCCATTTCGCTAATTCCTTTCTTTTACACACTTTCTTTTACTCACACTGAAATAGACATTCGCTTTTCGATAAACGCTGTATACTTTTTGCTGCTTTTTTTTAATAAGAAATGAAAGAAGACATTCTCTAGGTCCATCAATAAAAAATATTTAGTGTTTTGCAGCTTCTCAAAAACTTTATTTCTTTAATTTTTTGTGCGCACGGCGTTTTTATAAAAAAAATTTCTGTAAACCGTGGTTTACCAACTGAAGATTTCAAGTAAAAAAAACTTTTCACTCAATACAACCAAAACAGTATCTCTTCTCGTATGCTGTGGTATATTTGGAGGCGATTAAAAATAATTTGTTTAGTTTTGATCCAAGCATAGCTCAGCTCTGATTTTTCCTCTTTTTTGTGTTGCAACTCTTGTTTTTCTTTTTTCTGTTCTTATCTCAATTTCTGCATTTTCCTTTGCCTACTCCAATAACTCTTTTCAAAGCTTCCGCTTTGTCTCTATTTGGATAGTGCCTACCATCCATTGATGGCTATGTGAAAACGTTGTACACGCCAAGACTGCCGGGTTCACTGCATCAGTTTTGGATGCCAATTCCCGTAGGTCTGGTCTCCATTATTGTTGCGATAAATGTGCTATTCAGGACAAATGAGGTCGTTCACTGGTCTTTGAAAAATCAATAATCAGCTCTGCGCGCTTGGCATTCAGTTTAGCGGACTTCAGCTGCTAAATGAGTCCCCTAAGCGTAAGAAATTCGCTGTTTGTGATGCGCTTTAGCCTGCTCTGCCAACATTAACGCAGCCGCTCATATCTCTGGCCACCCCAAAGGCCTAGAATTGAGAACAATTCGCCGTCCGAATTCATCAGTGCAAATGAGCAATTGTCCGATATGTCCTCCGTGACATTTTTAATCAATGAAATTTTAATCAAAGATTTTGTTCAGCACCGATCGAACCAGGGTGGTAGTCTAATGCATAGAGTACATTCTCTGTGTACACATTTCGAAGGTTCGAATCCTGCTTAAGACTTCGACATTTTTCTTTATTTACGTATCTTTAAGCTCTATCTTTAATTGTAAAAAAAACTTAAAAATATGACCGGTAAAAAAAAATTTCAAGGGAGCCCATCCGTCATTTTTTCATCCGACACGTTAGTCACTATTCCCAATTCCAGTAATTTCTCATAAAAAATTAATTAAGCAAGAAAGGAAAGCTAACTTCGGGCGGAGCCGATGTTTGATATACCCTTGCATTTAAAACCGGAAACATCAGATATAGTTGGTCGATCCTTATGAGAATATCATGATATAACCAATTTATTACAATAAAGCTAAAACAAAGTGTTCTTAACAAATACCATTTCCGATCGTTCAGTTATATGGCAGCTATAGGATATAGTCGGCCAATCCTTATGATGTAGTGTGATGTGATGGCTTGTCGTATTATTTTGCCAAAAATAGCACTCAATGAAAATCCGAACTCTCTAACTTAAAAAACACAAAGTTGCTGCATTTCCGATCAATCAGTTATATGGCATCCATAGAATACAGTAGGCCGCTCTCGGCAGTTCCGACTTATATACTGCGTGCAAAAGAAAGAACGGTGGGTGCAAAGTTTCAAGTCGATAGCTTTAAAACTGAGAGACTAGTTTGCGTAGAAACAGACAGACGGACAGACAGACATGCTCATATCAACTCAGGAGGTGATCCTGATCAAGAATATACATACTTTAAAGCGTCGGAGATGACTGCATAAATGCGTATCAAACTTACGATCAAAACTTACCCTCTGCAAGTATATAAAAATATCTGAAACGGTTATCGGTTGATGCAGAAGATGGTTTTTTTCTCGTTTATGCCATTGTATAATTAAGCAATAAAATATAATAATATTATAATTATAAAAATAATTCAAAAATAAATTTTAACTTATGGTACTACTTATTTCAGGCCGTTTGTTCAAGGCATGGTTTGGCTATTGGGGCAAAGACCATATTAATAACAAAAACTGTTATGGCCATAACAGCACCACTTTCATATCCAGTTTCTCGAATTCTCGACAAGTTATTAGGTGAAGAAATCGGAAATGTTTATAACAGAGAACGTTTAAAAGAACTTGTTAGAGTAAGTAAGCAACTTACTCTTATTAAAAATGCATGAATTATAACCGTTTATTTTTATTTTTATTTTATTTTATGTAGGTTACCAACGATGTAAATGATCTTGATAAAAATGAGGTCAACATCATATCTGGAGCTTTAGAGTTACGAAAAAAAACCGTTGCAGACGTAATGACACATATAAATGATGCTTTTATGCTTTCGTTAGATGCAATTCTAGATTTTGAAACTGTATCTGATATTATGAATTCTGGGTATTCCCGTATTCCCGTATTTGATGGCGACCGAAAAAACATTGTAACGTTACTTTACATTAAAGATTTGGCTTTTGTTGATACAGATGATAACACACCACTAAAAACTCTTTGTGAATTTTATCAAAATCCAGTGCACTTTGTGTTTGAAGACTACACTTTAGATATTATGTTTAACCAATTCAAAGAAGGAACTATAGGTCACATAGCTTTTGTGCATCGCGTTAATAATGAAGGAGATGGCGATCCGTTTTATGAAACTGTCGGTTTGGTAACTTTAGAAGATGTAATTGAAGAATTAATTCAAGCAGAAATTGTTGATGAAACCGACGTTTTTGTTGATAATCGTACAAAAACCAGACGCAATCGTTACAAAAAGGCAGATTTTTCGGCGTTCGCTGAACGTCGTGAAGTCCAAGCAGTACGAATATCACCTCAATTGACATTGGCTACATTTCAATACTTAAGCACTGGTAAAGCGAAATAAATATTATAAATTTTAATTTGTATTAACCTTAATAATTAAACTTAGCTGTGGACGCGTTTAAAAAGGATGTAATTTCGGAGCCTATCTTACGAAGACTTCTCAATCAAGACGTTTTTCACAATATTAAAACAAAGGGAAAATGTAAAGAAGACCCAAGTCTTTATATATTCACGCAGGGAAAAGCCGTCGATTTCTTTGTACTTATTTTGGAAGGTCGAGTGGAGGTCACAATTGGAAAGGAAGCGTTAATGTTTGAAAGTGGCCCTTTTACTTATTTTGGAACACAAGCTTTGGTTCCAAATGTAGTCATTGGTAAGTATGAGAAAGAAAATTATATTAAACGTTTTTACTGGATCATAAAAGTTTACCTTACAAATTTATATACTTGGCTATCTCAGTCTCTCTTGGCTCGCAGAACTCCCAAAAGTTTTTTTAAACAAAAGGTTCTTGTTTTCAAAAACTTTCAAGACTTTTTTCTTTTATCGGCTCCCACATTGTGATCCCCCTGCTATAAGGTATACATATATATTCTTAATTAGGATCAACACCTGCGTTTATATAAATAGTATATATGTTTTAGAGCCTAACAATCTTTTTGTACATTGTTCTTTCCTTTGCAAGCAGTTTATAGGTTGGAAAGGCCGGGATAGGACGACTGTATGCTATAGCTTAAATATGAGTAATTAATCAGAAATAATAGAACTTTTGTATTTTTTTTGTTTGGTAATGTGATTCCATTAAAAAAATTTCATAAGAATAAGCCGACAATATCCTATATGTTTGTTCTTCCTTTTGTTCTCTGCAGCTTCTTTTGTTCTCGTTGTAGGGTGAATTTCTTGTTTTGCATGCGGTTTCAGTGCCGCGTAGTGTCTCTCAGTTAAGTTCAGCCGAAGTATTGGCTATGTTGACTTGCTTATAGAAGTCTCTCTTGTGCTCCTTTACGGTGACCTTCCATCCCAAAGAGATTGCCATCCTCAAGAGTCACCTCGGCTCGGCTTTGACGGAGGTGGAAATCCAGATCCCGGAACTATATATTTAGAAAGAATTGGGCTGTGCTTTTTTGTTAAGATTTCTATATGTCACTATCTATTCGCTAAGTCACTATGTTTCCGCTTTCAATCACTGGGCTCGAGTACCACCTTCGTCAGGCACCATGTGAGATGGTGTTTTGGCGCGTGATATGAGTAAATTGTGTTGTGCGGGAGTAGGAAATGTGTGAGGCTACCGTTCCTACATGCTATTGACAAAAAACGTATTGAAAAATCCGTATTGACAAAACGTTCTTTGATATATATATATTACCTAACCATTCTTACAACAAAGTTCATAGATTATTATGGCACAGCCACAGTAGTGAAAGGAAAAAAGATCGAGGAAATAGACAGTAAAAAAACAAACCACATACTAGAAAACACAGTAGGTAAAATAACTTCAATTGTACCAAAAAAATTATCTCTACTGTCTATTGCCGTCCGTCCCCACCCCCAACAACACAAAAGACCAAGACTAAACATAAGATGCGGTTCTAGGATAAGTATTGTAAGTAAAACAAGAAAGGGAAGCTAGCTTCGGCCGGAGCCGAAGTTGATATACCCTTGCAGTTAAAACCGGATATATATCGCAAACATCGGATAAAATTGTCCGATCCTTATGAAAATATCATAATATAACCAATTTATAAAAAATAAAGCTAAAACAAAGTAACAAGCTTCTATCTTCAAAAATACAAAAGTTGGTATTTTGACCAAAAACCATTTCCGATCGTTCAGTTATATAGCAGCTATAAGATATTGTAAAGGGTCGCCAGATAATCAACCAGATCGCCCAGAAATGAGTCAATTATATTCGCACGTCTGTGCTCTTTGATTACTGTTTTATTTCTGACTTTAATTCGAAAGATAAAGAATTCTCTAAGTCTAAATACATAAGTTTGGCGAGCGCTGCGCTGCCAGTGTGCCCAACGAAGTACAGTGTTACCTCGCTACATGTTTCTACATATGTGCATATTACAATATAGTCGGCCGATCCTTATGAAATTCGGCATGTTGTATTATTTTGCCAAACATAGCTCTCTTGTAAAATTTGAACTCTAACTTTAAAAACACAAAAGTTATACCATTTCCGATCAATCAGTTATATGGCAGCTATAGGATATAGTCGGGCGATCTCGGACGTTCCGACTTATATACTGCGTGCAAAAGAAAGAAGGGTGTGTGCAAAGTTTCAAGTAGATAGCTTTAAAACTGAGAGACTAGTTTGCGTAGAAACAGACAGACGGACGGACATGCTCAAATCAATTCAGGAGGTAATCCTGATCAAGAAAATATACTTTATATGGTCGGAGATACTTTATATGGTTCACTGCGTTGCACACTTTTGACCAAAATTATAATATCTTCTGCAAGGGTATAAAAATACATCTTTTATATACTTTATGGGAACGAAGATGATTCGTTTTCTATGTTACATACAGTCCCGCACTAAAGTGATGGCACACTTGCAGTTTTTTAATTTAATTGATGTTCATAGGCTTGTTCTGCATTTTAACAATTTTTTTTTTATATTTGGATAAATAAACGATTTTTTATAGGCACTTTTAATTTTTTCTTTTTTCTATCGCTATTCAATTTAATTTTAATTTTAAATGAAATGGTACTTTTGTCGTGACACAAAAGTCTTGGCTAATTTGTATATAACTTGTAACTTAGTATTTGGTTGGTAGTGTTTTTGGTTAAAAGTATGCAACTCAGTGAAGGAGACTTCTCCCACCCTATAAAGTATATATAATTAAATATCTTCTTAAAAATAGTTTGAAAAAATTTATTTTTGTATGAGTTCCGGTTTTGATACAGTGTGATTCTTTAAAACTGCTTAGAATTTCAGAACAACTGCTTAGAATGTTAGAATTTCAAAACTAACTTATCTTTGGTGCTCTAAGTCCTTTTTATAGCTACCCTTGCTGAAGCTTTTTGCAGATCAGAAGCTTTTCTCTCTGAGAGCCTTTGTTTTCTGAAGAGAATAGATTGAGTCGGAACCTTTTACTTTTACTTGTCAGATGACATGGAAGGCTTTGGGTCTCAATTAATCGAGGTGACAAGAAAATGTGAAATTTCCTGTGAAGTGGGTTCCCATTTAAGAATGGTTTGAGCTGTTTAGTTTTAATTCACTTAAAAGGAGTGAGATAGATTTGAGTCGGGATTTCTGTTTACCCAAATAATGTTTTGGTTTTCAATCTGAAGTGACTGTTAGAAATTGGAAATCTGAAATGAGGCTGTTTTCAGCCGAATTGGAATAATTAAATGTTTATGTTTTTACAAAAATTGGAATGGGGCTATTTGCAGCTGGGTTACGAATTTCAATACAAAAGCCTTCTGCTTTGGTTTACAAAATTATCTGATATACACTTAAAGAAATTTTGTTGATATGTTACTATATATTCTTGATCATTTTTAATTTTTACAATAAAAACTAAAAATAAAAATTATGATTCAATTTTTATTATACAAATTGAAAATAAAACTTATAAAAATTAAAAAAAAAAAAAAATTGAATGCGAATAACTTCTAAACCTGGTGGGCTATTAAAAAACGGTTAACATATTTATGTGCTGTGGCGCAGTACATTTCAAATGATGTATCGAATATCCTTAAAGGACATATTACAGGATTCCACTTGGTTGGTACTTCTTTTTTTTAGATATTTTATTGTAATTACTTGGCGTTATTATGATATTCTCATAAGGACCGGCAAACTATATACGATATCCGGGTTTAACTGCAAGGGTATATCAACTTTGGCTCCGCCCGAAGTTAACTTTCCTTTCTTGTTAGTAGTAATTTCATGTTTTCTAATGTTTCTATACTCGATATACATATGCAAATCCGTGGCGGAATGCTTTCGGTCGTTGCCGTGCATAACTGAAAACGGATCTGGAATTTGAAGGTTTGAGGCACTTTTTGTAAGGTTTTCCTTCAATATATTAGGGTAATAAACCTTATCCATTATGCCTTCAACAAATACCAACTCCCCAACACCCGCAGATGACATGCATCCCCACACCATGACTTCTCCGCCGCCGTGTTTTAAAGTTGGTGCCAAATTATTTTTTTCCATTCCTTGTTTGGCTTTCTCCACAAATGTTCACGGCCATCGTATCGGAAAATGTTGAACTTGCTTTCGTCTGAAAACAAAACTTGGTCCCAGAATTAGCTTTTTTTGCCCAAAAAGTTCTTAGCATAGGTTAAGCGTTTTTTTTTAATCACCTCAGAGATGAAGTGCTTCCTCCTAGCTGCACGACTGTAGTAATTGGCTTCGTGCAGGGTCCTTCGCACAGTCATGGCAATCTGCGAAGAGGTGTTTTTCGGATCCACCTTCACTTTACGGATCACTTGGCTTCGTTCGCGCTCTGTCAAAGCTCTCGGCCGTCCTGATCTAGGTGCATTTGTCAAACTTATTGTATAAACTTAAATATTGTTGAATATCGGCTTAGTTCCATTATTTTGGCTATTTCGCCATAGGATTTTCCTTCATTGTGTTTCCTTCGTTAGTTTCCTTCGAAAGTTTGATCACATCTTTAACAGGAGTCCCATTATAAATTTCATAAAAAAGTATGACCAGATACGGCTTAATACTAAAATAATTGAATGAAATATATTTTTAGTGTCACGGAATACGCTCTTTTTTATTTAAAATTAAGATAGCTTAAATAATATCACAGAAAATAAAAAAACTTTTAGTGCCTTTCATATAAAAAATCCTTTATTTAACTAAACCAAAAAAAATAAAATCCTTAAATTTTTTTTTTTTTTTTTTTGTAATAGCAGGGTAATGTTTATTTAAAACTGTCCATTAGGGACAACCATTAAATTTTATCACGTAAACTTCACGTATAGATATTTTTAAATATTAATATGGTAGAAAAAAAAATTAGAGTAGTAAGGGGAGGTCCAGCGGGTGTGTCCTTTTAAGTCTTCTGGGTTGCTCGCTGCTGTCCAGCAGGGAGCTGGCCAACCGGTTCGGGTGATTATGAAGCCTCTGCATGTAACGTGCGCTGCTTCTTTGTATCTCGTCCTTGACCCAAGGGAAATTGAGAACCTCGTGGATGGTGCGATTGTCATGATAGACGTGGGCCCCAGTGGCGATTCGAAGGACTCTATTTTCGAAAGCTTGCATAGTTCGGACATTCGTCTTGCTCGCAGTTCCCCAGATCTGTATGCCGTACGTCCAGATAGGGCGTATTATTGCCTTGTAAATGAGGAGTTTAGTGGAAGTTCTCAGCTTCGATCTCCTACCCATAAGCCAGTTGAAGGATC